GCTAATTATTAGTGTTCTTCGGCCAGAAGTGTAAATTCTTGATTATTAAGAAATCGGTCTTGACAATATCTTTTCAGCCATTAATAAAGATGTTCTTCTCATCAAAATACATATAGTCTCTTAAGATTGTTTGAGAGGTTATCATTTGACTTTTTAAAAAAAATCGGAATTTTTGCCAGACGTCTATAGATTTGTTACAAATATTTCATATGATTCTTTTTAATGAGTAATCAAAAAATATAATTGAATTAATAAGAAAAATAAATTTAAACTAGTGATAAGATTTTCTTCCTCTTGTATAAATCTTACCTGAATACAAATTCATCTATGTGATATAAGTAGAACTTTTAATGATACCACTTTAATATCAGGTTAATACCAGTTTGGTAGTTAAATTTATTATAAATTCATATAAGTTAACTAATTAGGATAGTCAGATTGACTTTAAAAAAACCAGTAATATTAGAAATAATATTTACTAGATAGTATTAATTTATAGTTAAAGATATTTGATATAATGGTAATAATAATAATTATTAATAAAAATCTTATATATAATGTTCTTAACCAATTAAAAAAAAAAATTTATAAAAAAATTTAAAAACATATTATGAATTAAAATTAAAAAAGAAAAAAAATAATTAGAAATATAAATATAATCAAAATTTCATTAAAACAAATTAATAATAAATTGTAAGCAATGATTTTAATATTTGCTTTTATATAAGTATGCAAAAATATGCAATTTTATTTATCTTCAAAATTATATATAAAAATAATTTTATCAAAAATGGATATTTAAATATTATATTTAAAAGTTTGTTTATAAAAGTAACTTGACTATTATATATTCTATAAAGATTAATAAACTTTATATATACTTGTTTAATTATAGGAAAAAATAATAACAATAAATTAAATTAATATTATATTCTTGCATATTAAAGATTAATAAACAATTGGAATGTTGCCTAATTAGAAGTAATATATATATATATATATAAATTATATTAATGTAATTACATATTTAATGTTTATTTGCAAAAAAAAAAAAATTAATATAATAGAAAAAATTTTAATAACAATTTTTTAAAAATTAAAAAAGTGTCAGTTTTATTGCCAGAACAAAAAATTAACTGGGCAAGTGTTGAGTATACTGTGAAAAATATAAACCACATCGTCATATTTCAACTTCTGTTTCCTTGATGTTACAGATGTAATATAATTGTTATAAAGTTACATTCTTACTAATTAACCTGATCTTGGTTGTCAGACTAATTCGCACAAGCAAAAGTTCTGTAATATATCCGTCTCAAATTTGGCTGCCTCTACTTAGTAGTACTGGTTTAAGATGTCTTATTGTACTGTATTTGTTTCTTTTATCAAATATGAAATTTACAAAGACTAAAATAAATTGCAAATATTAAGAATAAAAAAAAAAAAAAGAAACACTAGTTGAATGTGCTAGAATGACTTAAGCTTTATTAATAAAATAAAAATCATATATTTAATGCTTAAAAGTTAAGCATGTAATTCTTTTAAAAAAAATACCACAAAGAATTCGACGAATTATGTAATAGTATGATCACTTTCAGCATCATCATCTATCTCTGCCTGAGCATTATCACTCAGATGGTGATCCTCGTCGATGTTTTTTTCTTGATCACTCTGAACATTTTCTATCCTCTGTTTAGACTCACCTTTGTGTTTTTTCCTCATCAATTGTTCAATTTCGTGTTCATGAAGTCGATCAGACCTATACCTATCCCAGAATGACTCATCGTAATCAGGGGCTGTGTAAGATGATTCCAAGTATGTGGTTTTTCCATAATTTTCAGGTACTCTAATCCTTTCCTGCAACAATAATACATCTTTATATTAGATAGGTCGATTTCAATATATAAATTTATTGTTTAATACCCACGGTTTGTCGACGTCTTCTTAACGTAGTCCTAACTGAAAAGGGTGAATAGAGAATACGTTTCTCTTTCGTTATATCGTCATATTTTTCGTAAAATAAAATTTGGGAATTCTTTGGAAGAACTTGATTTTCGATGTTATAATCTCTAACCCATTTGTATTGAAAGGTCTAAAATAAAATAAGATTTGAGAAAAAAAATATTATAATAAATAAATATTATAAAAATATTTAATTCGCTCACTTCATCTTTGCATTCTTCAAATGTTCTTTTATTTTTTAGTCTTTCGGCAGATTCTGCCGATGGAACATAAAGCATCAAAAACCTATCATTCCCACTAGCCATAGGATTCACTAAAGCCTTCGTAGCTCGATCTTGACGCATGTTTCCCTGATCCTAATTTATAAAACGAAACAATGATTAATCGATCAAGTTTATAATAAAATAAATTCATTGACTTAAATTCAGAATCCTAACATCATCATCTTCCATCGGAACCCCTTCCCACGGATCACTATCAAAACAACAATGCGCTAGAATACGATTCCTCATCTCGAAATCCGGTAAAATTGGAAGAATTTCAACCGGTGTAATTTTAGGATCCTTATGATGCTCAAGTTTTTTAAGACGTTCTAGATCATTCGCTACTTCAAAAGAGTATTCGATTGCTGCGATCTGTTCCTCGTGTGTCCGGTTCAATAGGTCATTACTAGCTTTAAGAGTGGCCATACTATTATGGATCATTTAGCAGGAATAATTAACATAAAATTAAACCTTCAACCATTTTCTTTATATTATTTACCATAAAATCTATTAGTTACCGGCTCTCCATAGTTGTCGTAATACTATCCCCTCTATAAACACTTTCAGATGCGCTAATGTACTGGGTTCTACGAAGCCACGTTTTTGGATCATTTGAATGTCTCTTTAATTGTGCCAGTCCAGGAATGACATTTATAGAAGGCTTTGCCGGAACCAAGAGAGCAACATCTTTGCTGTCAAGTCCACTAAATTTCCTAGGATTTAGAACTATGAACACCTAATCTAGATTAAATATTCGATTCACCTACGCAAAAAAGCACGTACTATAAACTAGATTCATACCTGAATCGTCACCGTAGAATGCACTGGAAACGACACTCAAGTCATATGGCATTCCTAGATCACTGTCGCTAAGCAGAGGAAGCCGGGTTGTTTGAAATGTACGCGTTGTCCGTTTTACAGTCATGACTTTTTCTGTGTCCGTCTTCCAAACCAAATCAAATGGAGGATCGGTAGGTGGAGGAACAAGATGTCGATATCTCATCCCACACAAGTAATTGTAGTCCGATCGACCTTTCCTATTTTGTGAGTTATGACTTTGGAAGGAAATTTGTTAGTTAAATTCATTAGAAATTGATTAGGGATCCGTAAGACCTACTTTGGTCTGGTTGACATTTTTAATTAAACTGAAAAACATAAATTTGTATCAATAGTTTTAATTAAAATATCGATTAGCTAATACTATTATTACCTTATTAGTCATAATAATAGTCTCGTCTTTATCACGTGTTATTTCGCGTTAAAAAATAATTATCCTTACTATAAGAGAAAATAAATAATAGCTAGCAACTACTGTAAACCACTGCATACAATACCCCTCCTTGAATAGTACCCTTCCTGATTATTTTAATAGTATTTTTCTTTTTTTCCCTAAGTAATTTTTCTGGTGGAATGATTAATACCCAGAATATTGTATGCAGTGGTTTATGGTATTTATATTTCAATATAATTGATAATAAATCTAAAAACATTTAATTTATATTACAATAAGATAATTTGAATCTTTGCAATAAGCAGTATTAATAAATTTTTATTATTTATTATTTTTATTTAACTTTATATATAGAGAGTAAATAAAATACTGTAAATATTAAAAATATATATAGTTGGAAACAAAAAAATATATCTTTTTTTTCAATTAATATTTTTAATTATAATTCAATAAATAATTATTTAAGTATTATAAAATTTTACAAAAATATTCTTTAGAATATAAAAAAAAAGATATAAAATTTATTTAAAAATATATATTTATTTAATTTTTATTTTATTTTAAATTTTAGAAAAGTAAAATTTGTTTGTAAGTTAAAAATTATTTTAAAAATTATTATTTAAAAAAATTATTATAAAAAATTTTAATAAGTTATTTTATAAGAAGTGTTTAAATAAAAATTTCTTTAAATTATAATATATATATTATACATGTGACTAAAATTATTTTACAATTGATTCAATTATTTGAAATTTTTATAGTGCTACAATTAATGTATTACAAGCTACAATTGTGACACAATTATATAAATTTGCTGCAATTAAATCAATATGATGTAATCATGTAATTTGCCACAATTATCAAATTTGCTGCAATTGTATCACAATTAAATTAATATGATGCAATCATGTAATTTTCTGCAATTATCAAATTTGCTGCAATTGTGCTGTAATTATTAATCAATTAAATTTAAAAAAATAAAAAAAAACGAAAATAACAAATTTATTGTTTTTCTATTCATCCATCCATTAAAAATACAAAGTGATGATAATCAAACAGTTTCCTTATCATTCAAAAATACAGTTGGACAACCAGAATCATCAGCTTGACAATATTTTTATAAAATAGCTATTGATAAAAGTCATGAATACTTTTTAATAACATGTCATTATTGTGACAAAAAATATTAGCAGGATAAATTAAATATTCTTGAAGACCATTTAACAAATAAGTATATATTTTGTTCAATTGAAATCCAAAATGAATTTTTGGAAACAATTGTTAATAGAATAGCTAAGAACAAAAAAAAAACTCATCAAAAAAACAAAATTAAATCCAAAATAATCTTTATTAAGTAATTTTATGGAAAGTATCAAGTTAACCAATGCTAAAAAAGATATAATCAATATAACATTAAGAAGATTTTTTGTTACCTATACAATTCCTTTTGCAGTTATAAACCATCCATTTTTTATTGAATTTTGTAAACAGCTTTGCCTAGCTTATGATTCATTATGTCACACAACAATTTTCACAAATATTTTTTACTCAAAGACAGTAGCAATCACAATTAAAATTCAAAAGAAATTATAAATAGAAGAAAATATCACAATTGTTTTGGATGGATAGACAGATTCCAGCAATCACCAATTGTATAATTTTATTTTGATAATACCTAATAGACATGAATATCTTTGAACTATTGAAGATGTATCATTAGAAAGCATTACTGGAGAGTTTTTAATCAATTATATTAAAAAAATCATCAATACTATTGAACAAAATAAAATTGCAAAATTGATTACAGATGAAGCAGCTAATTGTAAGGTTGCACAAAATATTATTGGTAAAAAATATCTATGAATTATTACTATGTAGTGTATTGCACATTATATCAATTTGATTTTCAAGAATATATGCAAGTATCAATTTACTATTAATATAATTAATAAGTGTCAAACATTAGTATTATTTTTTTTGAGATCATATCAAGGGATAAGTACACTTCATAAATCTATTAATAAATTAAAAATCAAGAATAGAGGCATCAAAACATCAACCAAAACAAAATAGTCAATGATATATAATTGTTGTAAATCAATTATTAAACTTCAATCAGCATTTAAAAATATAAGTATTTGAATTTTTATTAATTTAATATTAAATTTAATTATTAATTTTGAATTTTAATTATTGGATGTTGAATAATAAACCTGGGATATTAAATAATAATTATGTGGAAATTATTACAACAAGAGGATTTTTTGAAGACGTATATTAGATAATTACAATTTTTAAACCAATTATGAGTACGATTTCAGTTTTAGAATCCAAAACAACAACTTTAGCCAATTGTTTTGTTCAATTATGTTGACTGACTCATATTATCAATCATATTTCTATTTTTATTCCAATTTTAGAAAATTTTCAGAATTATTGTATTGATCAATTCAACAAAAGATAAAATGAATTTGAACATTTAGTATTTGTATTAACTTATTTTTTATATTCTTTATATCATATTAAGTTATTGAATATTGTATTTATTATTATATTTAATTTATTAATTTAATTTTATAAAGAAAAAAAAACTCTCACCCATTCATCACTGATTTTTTGAAAATTTTCTTTTTAGGAAATCTTCTTTCAAAAAGTGTCTTCTTCTCTTTATTCTTTAAGACAAATAAACTTTAAACCTAAAGAATATAAAGACTTTAAGGAACACTATTGCATTGGGATGGGACCTCTGGTTAAGACCTAAGCAAGTTGGGAGTCTTCCTTAACTCTTGGTTGCATGGGGAAAGGCCTGTGACAGCCTTTCTTCATAACTTTTGTCTTTAAGTACCTTCCCCTTTATAATCATGATAATTATTTTTCCTTTTACTTTTCTTTCTTCATAATACAAATTTAATCTTTACAACACATTCAAACAAAGTTACTGGATCTAATGTTTGTTTTAACACAACCTTTGAAAATTTTATTATCTTTCTTCTCTATCTAAAAACAATACTACACGACACTTCTTTACTATCCTACAATTTTTCCAAATCTACTCAAAAAACTGCAATCAGTTTCACCCCATCCAAAGATTTACACTTAACAAACAACCAATAAAATATCTTCACTTCTTAACAATAACATCAAATCTGTTTAAACTCGTTTACAACCAGTTCTCCAATAAAATTCTCACATGCAATAATAACAACAACAATAACAATAACAACAACAAATAATCAACTGACAACCTACCAGATTGGGAGAGCACGTAACTTGTGCCCTGTGTGGGTTCCGGTAATCTTTACTTAACATGTATCCAAACAACACAACAGTTAACTGGAGCTGGGCTCTAGTTACCCAACTTATATATATTCCAATTATAACACTCCTTTACCAACCACATAACCAACTTATATTATCTCAACAATGAAGTTGTGTCTCATAAGCAACAATACTATCGTTAAAGAAAAAAAGCAGCTAAAGCCTAACCAATGTAAATAAAAGTAAAGCACTTTTATTGCAAGTGGAGGTAAAATACCAAGGAGTTGTACCCCATAATCTGGTAGCTTATGCCAGTACTTTTCTACTGCTGCTGGAGTTGTGTTCAGTTATCGAAAAAGAAGCAATAACCTAGATAGACACATTTGGTTTATGCCCTGTGGGAGGGATTGTTAATTCAAAGATAATATGACTTCAAACCTTAACACATATTATGCCTATACAACTTTCCATTCAAAACACATCTAACTATATATGGTTTTGGAAAAAGAGTAGTCCTGATTTTAAACTCAACATATATAGTGACTTCACATTCATACATTCTATTTTTCAAATTATTATACCTATATATTCTTTTACTCAAGGTGATCTTGCCCCTTTTTTTTCTTTAATATATTAATATTATAGATAGTTCCTTTCTTACTTTTCTCTGCCCCAGGGTTTTTTATTTAGAAATATATCTAATACAATAGGTGGTAAACTAATATGTACTTAGTTTAACTTCATTCATATATTTCATATCTTAGAATTAACTATGTAATAATAATTACATTAATAAAGATCATGAGACATATCTCACCTTAACAAAAAAAAAAATTTAAATTAATTTTATATTTAAGATCATGGATTATATGACAGTTATTTAAAAAAAATTGTTTTTATACTAATAATTTACTCAAAAAAATAGGAGGCGATAAACAAGCAATTTTGGTGTTAATTTCTTAAATATGAAAATATTGACTCAAAAAATCTTTATATGATTTACCTTATGATACTACAAAAGATATTTCTGAAATTTGATAAATAACTTGTTCTGAAAAACCTGTGTATTTACAAAAAATTGCTCTTAAGTTACTTAACATTATATCATATTTGATTAATTGTAAAAAATTTTTTTCTGTATTGAGATAGTTCTATAGGCAAAGAAGAATAAAGTTAAGTTCTAATAGAATTTCTATAATGGCAAAAATTTATTCATATTATATATCAAATACTAAAAATTAACTTCAGTATTATGGAAATTTATTATCAAGTGATAAAATTCAAGATCAAGTGATCTACATAACAAAATTTGATAGATTTATAAGAAATTGATAATGACTATTCTTTTGAAGCAATTTTATTAGATGATGAAGATAATATTAAATCTCAATTAGCTAAAAATTTGGAAAATAAAGAGGAATTAAGAAGGGTTTTAACAATAGAAATTTGTGTTAATCTTTCTAATCGAATGTTTATTGATAATGAAATTCATATAAATTTGGAAATTAATAATTTTTTTGAAAATAGTAATAATAATAGTAATAATAATTTTAATATAGAAGATTTAATTAATTAAGCATTAGATAATAATGAGTAAATTAATTTTTTGATGGATTTTGATAGATTTTATTAGTTAATAATTTTT